TGCTAAGTCCTGGGCACAGCCTGTGGATTTTCCCCATCTGCCCTGCCCATCCTCTGGGCATCTGAGCTTCCCTTTCCAGTCCCTTTTAGAATATCATGCTCACCTTCTATTCAAGGTCTATCTCCTATGAACTTCTCCTGTACCTCCTTCCCAGTGCTGGGTACTCATGTGCATTTGCCATGATTTTATACTTAGGCTGACCTCTCCTGAGCAACTTTAGCTTCTTGAAGTCAGGGATGCAGTGGATTCTTCACTGTTAAATGTAAAGAGCCCAACACATCACTAAGGCTTATTAAACACCCCCCCCCCGCCCCGCACACATACACACACCCCAGAATAAAGCCAGGCCAGTGAAACACCCAAACTTCTCCTGAAGCACAGTTCTAATGCTCACTAATAATCCACTCCTCCGTGAAGCCTTGATGTGGGAAACACTGCCCTGCCTTACATGGATGGGAAGTCACACACTAGCCAACCTCAGAACCAAGGAGTCACCAGCCAGAGCCTGGGGTTTCTACAGGGGTTCCCCAGAGCTAGCAATTGCTGCTTGGGTTAAAGGGACAGGCAAAGAGACCAGAGATCCATAGACACTGCAGGATCCAATCCCCAAGACAGGGATGGATGCCCTGGGGTCCTCCTGGGGCAGAGACGGTGAGGGTGCAGGACATTGTATCACTCCCTTCTAAATCCTAGACTTTCCTTCTACAGGGCCAGCTTTCTAAAGCCTGGGATGAAAGTTGTCTATTCCCAAAGCTCAAGTCTTCTGACCTTAGAAAAATGCCCTGGAGAATGCAGAGCTGGGCCACACCATCTCGTTAGTTAATGAGTTAGGTTATTGTTGGTTAATTTAAACTTATTGTTATCATCAGGTATAGCTTATAAACACTTGATTAGTTAACGCATTCAAATTGAAATAAAAACTTCAATTAAACTGAACATTCACTCCTATCATTTAGGGTTCTTAAAAAAAACTCTGAAAAACAGAAAGTAAGAGAGAGACAGGAGATACAGAAAGAGAGAGAGAAGCAGAAAGAGAGAGAGAGAGAGAGCATTTTGCTTCTCAGAAGGGCCTCCTACAGGGCAAACTTCTAATTAAACAAATTGTCAATTTCAACACAATGAAAACTGATTTAGGAGTGTAAATTTAGTATTCTAGTCACTGAAAATAAGACCTCGCCTGCCTGGTCGGATCTCCTAGAGGCTGATTGCATCTGATAGGGAAATGAGGAGGAGAGAGAGAGAAGACAGGGGGAGAAGGGAGCAAAGATGTGGAGGATAGACAGCCAAAGCCTTTTCCTCCTCTTATAAAAAAACACACATCTCGGAGGAATTCAGGGCGACCTCTTCTCCAGTCTGGGAGAAACTTCTTTTCCTTGCCTCCTCCTTCACCCCACCCCTACTAGATTAGAAAAAAAAAATTAATCGTCTATGATGACAAGCATGGCTCAGCACTCACTGTACATACTGTACCCACAAGTCTGGCTTGCAGCCAGGCCTGGCCCAGCGCCAGGACTACAATAACAAACACAGGCAGTGCTTGCCAAGAGGGGGTAGGGCAGCCAGCACAGAACAAGCTAGAGGAGGGAGAGGAAGCAGCTCCAGGAACAGCCACAAACAGCAGAGATATGCCTGTGCAGGGCCGTGGCAGCATTCAGGGCAACCAGGACCCCAATGCAAATCCCAGACCTACTTCTCTGTATGCCGCTTTTAAAAAAAAATCTAGCCCAGTGCCAGTGGCTCACGCTTATAAGCCTAGCTACTCAGGAGGCTGAAATCTAGGATCATGGTTCAAAGCCAGCCCGGGCAGGAAAGTCCATGAGACTCCAATTAACCAGAAAAAAAGCCGGAAGTGGATACATGGCTCAGGTGGTAGAATGCCAGCCTTGAATGAAAAAGTTAAGGGGCAGTATGCAGATACTGAGTTCAAGTCCCAGTACCAGCACAACAAAATACAATCTATTTCTTCCAAGCTTTCCTCTACTGCTCCAAACCTTTATCCTCTGTAAAATGGATCTGTCCTATACATCTTTCCAGTCCGTTCTCACTGGCAGATCCTTGCAAGAAGCCTTCAAAACAGAGCAAGGAAATCTCACGTATCTCAGTAAAAAGGCCTTCTAAAACAGACTTCTGTAGTCAGGCCTCTGGGGGCTCTAATCAGAATGTGTAAAAAAAAAAATCAGTCTTAGAACCTTCTAGAATACCTGACACTAGCAGCTCAGCCCTCTGAGTCCAACTCCCAAACAAGACCAGGTCTCTCCAGGGGCCTCAGGGGTGGTCCATGTTTACCCGGGTACAACTAGTTCAGGAAATGGTCGAGGCCCAATAACTCTGTGCCATCTGATTTTCTAAGACATTTCTGCATGGGAGAGAAAGACAGAGAGAGACAGACAGACAGAGACAGAGACAGAGAGAGAGACAGAGAGACGGAGAGAGACAGAGACAGAGACAGAGAGACTGAGACAGAGAGATAAATACAGGGCAAGAGGAAGAACTCATCAATAGGGAAGAGAAGTCACAGACTCCATAGGCTATGAGCTATGTACAAGGGTGAATGAATTATCATACTCCCAGGACTCACCACCTGTCCCCAGTTCCACATCTTCATTCACAAGGGCATTGAGAGGCAATTCTCAGTGCGACCTATCACCGTGAAATACGTGGCAGATAAGACAAGCAAGGAAAGGGCAAGCTAGGACTCAAATCCCAAAGCCTTGGAGGGATCTGGTGAAACCATGGGACCTGGAGGTAGTATCTGAGGCAGGCCCAGAGACAGCTTCACCAGGGAGCCACCAGTCCGGTCCACCGAGGGGTGTGCATAGTCATTAGCTTGTCTCAACTGGAGACACAGACCTCACCGAAAGTATGAACTCAGCTCTCGGCCACACCCAAGACTGAAGCCATGAGATTCACACAGGAACACAGTGGTTGCTTCACATCTCCCACTGCCTGGAAGAGGAGTTGCCATGATGGGGCAGAGGACTGCTAGATGCCCACTTCTCCAGGAACACTCAAGGGAGGGTTCCTGCTGCAGATGAGACCAGGCAGGAGCTTGAAGTCTCATGGAGTTGTTTATCAGCCTTCCAAGCTTGCACTTACTCATTCAGCAAATACCCACTGACTCCAATAACATGCCTGGCAATGTGGCAGACACACCGAGGACTGATCCTGTACTCAGGAGCTTACGGTCCATTAGAGGGAAGAAGAAGAAGAAAAGTAACATGCCGGGCATAGTGCTAAGTGAGTCTTATGACTTCTTAAGCAGAGCTAAAGACTCTTACTTTACAGCCAGGCACCAGTGGCTCATACCTGTAATCTTAACTACTCAGAAGGCTGAGATCTGAGGATTGCAGTTGAAATCTAGCCTCTTATCTCCAATTAGCCTAAAAAAACCCCAACAACCAGAAGTAGAGCTATGGCTCAAATGGTAGAATATCAGCCTTGAGAGAATAAGCTACAGGACAAGGGACAGCTGACCCAGGTCTTGCATGCACTCCCTCTCCCTCTCCCCCCGCCCCCTCTTTCTCTCTTTCTATATAGATGAAGATACTAAAACTCATATCATTAGGGGGTTCATGCTTCCATCACACCTCCCCTCTCAAGTAGAGGAGATAAGGCAAAGCCCATAAATAACCATAACACACCAAAGAAAGATGGTGCTCAAAGAGAGTTATACATGAAGAAAATGGACAATCCAGAGGAGGACGCAATTGTTTCTCGCTGGAGGTGGGGGAATGATTGAAGACAGCATGGTAGAAAGAATCTTGGAAGACGGGACAGGGTTTTCCCAAGCAGACAGAAAGAGGTAAAACGAAGCCACCAGGCCCAGAACCCAAGGAGCCTATGAAACCACGTGGGCTCTGCAGCCAGACCACAGCAAACTGAAGCAAAGCCACTGACGAGCATTCCTAGGAGGGTAACACTATGAGCTGGAGAAGAACAGGAGGCAGCAGCTCAGCAGATAGGACACACCTGCAGTCAGGCAATGCTGGCATGCCCCAAGGTGACTACTTCAGAAGCAAGGGAAAGGGAGGAGGTACAAGCCAAAGCCACTGATGTCTATTAACCATCCACTACAGGTTGGGGACTTGCTACAGATGTCTTTGTCACCTAATTCTTTAAAAAAATTATATGAGTTGGCAGCACTTGCATTGTATGTACTGGTGTTACGAAAACTTACAGAAACTCTGGTTTTACATGACAGATCTGGCCACTGTTAGTACACTGTGCAACTGGCACAGATAGGATTTGAATTTGCCCTCCAAGACCTCAGTTGCTTGGAGAAGGATGAGGCAGATGTTGCCACGTGTCTATGATGGTAGCGAGACCAAATAAGATAGCCTGTCCGCTCTTCTAAAATGAACATTCAAGGTTGTAAAGGCAAGATTCTGCGCAGGACAGACAGCAAGAGACCCGGAGTGTTGGCAGGCAGACCCTCGGCCTTGAAACCACAATGTCCAACCTGGCAAGCACACCCAGGCAGGCTGGATGTCGGGGCTTCTCCCCTTCTCCACGCCTCACAGGACAGAGCTGCTTTGCCCAAACATGAACAAAATTACCAGCAGCTACATAGTCGACCCCACTAGAATTGGATAAAATTAACTTGCAAAAGACAGCACGCTATAACTAGCTTTGTGTTCCAACCTTTCTATATCTATTTAATTAAAGGCTCCTGTATAATGTGAACCCAATAGTCAGATTCATTAGACAGCGAGAACCTAATTCAACAACTGTTTTGCTAATGAAACTGCAGTCTACTTTGGAAGGTAGATCACACAGGGCATGGGTGCCAGCGAGGCCCTGGGAACTCTGGGAGACCGTGACGATCCGTTTCATCTGACAAGCACACCATCAGCTCCATGAACCTGGAGGAAATGCTCCAAGGGACCAGGTAGACCAAGACCTTGTCTGGCAGGGCAGTGGTAGGTTCTAAGTTGGGGGTGAAGGTGGACAGGAGGTGGTTGCCTGGGCCTGAATGGGCTGGTAAAGGCATCTTTGCCTACCTGAATGAGCCAGTAAGTGCATTCTCAGTCGCAAGCTATCCAGGAACCGCTTTCCACAGAGCTCGCATCCGTACGTCTTCATCCCACTGTGCAGCTTCCTGTAGGGGAAAGGAAAGGACAGGTTGCTGCTGCTCTGGCTGGACAGAAGGCAGACCCACTCCTGTTGGCGGGCTTTGCAACATCCCTTTGGCAGGTGAACGGGAAATGGAGATGGAAGACTTGACATGGATAAAGCCTCATCTGGAACCCTCAGACACCTTCCACGGGCCCCTAGATAGCTGCATTCATTCTTGAAATGGTTTTTTTAATGGTTATAATAAAGATGAGTATATATAAAGGTGTCATATATCTATACAAAGGTGTTATAATAAAGGTTACAGTTACATCACTCATTCTTAGGCTTGTTTCGGGAAAGAAGAAGTCTAGAGCACTTCCTACTGTTTGGTCCACTGGCATGGAAGGGGGAAAAAAGACACCATTTCAGAGAGTGGAAGGAAACAGCATACAGGATGGTCAGACAGGTAAATCACTTGTCAAACCAGCTCAGGTCATAAATGGAGGTACTCCAGCCTCTGCTTAGCTTGGGACAGCACTGTCCTCACCGCTATGGCTGCCCGTGCCTGGCTCTCCACACCTTACACTCAGAGGGCTGCACCTGTGCTCTACCTCTGTCCAGATACTCCCATGTCCTTCACAGTGACTGGCACCGAGGAGGCCCTGAATAAACATAAGAATGAGATGTTCTCTTTATGGACACAAACCACCTCCCTATCTCTCAGGGTACCTAGATGTTCTTAGAATGGCAGTAATCCCCAGCACTCACATCTTTCCCCTAAAGCCCAGCTTCAAAAGTGTCTTCTATCTCTGCCTCCCCACTTCACCCCACCCCCAATAATCAGAAGGGTTTCAAGAAACTTTGTTCTATAACCTAGGGTGTTTGCAGCAGCCATGTTATCTTATTTTATGGTATCTTATTCTGTCGTTTGTGAGATGGGCCTGGCTGTGTGACTACCCTGAAAACAACTGGTCCCACACCCAGCCTGCAGCAGAGCTTCCTCCCATCCCAACTCCCCCCTGAGGCCTTTCCCACCAGTCCCTTTGCTCAGTCCTGAGCCAGCTATGGGGCCCACAAGACGTAAGGAACTAAACAGGCCAGCAGGCAGAGAGCTGAGTTCTGGGGAGAGGCTCTGAGCTGCAAACGCTGCTGGCCCCAAACGCTGATTTTCCTTTAACCCACAGTTCCATTCTCAGGCCCGTATGGCCACTGCCAGGATGCAGGATCCAGGATCTCATCTCTGGCCGTTCACTGTCGCTTTCCCAAAGGAGTTAGGGCAGCCAGTGGCAGCCAGAGACAGGATCTGTAGGTGGTGAAGCAAGCAAGAGAATGTAGTGTTCTCTGAGAGCCAACAATCTACTAAGATTAGAATGCCGATATCCTAGGGCTGCAGGAAAAAGCCAGAGAGCTGGTGCTGATATCAGAAGAAAAAAGAAAAGAAAACAAACCTGCGATGGGACAAAAGGATTAGGCCCTGATACTGGCAGTGCCCAGATCCTGGCAATGGACCCAAGCCACCCACTGCTGCCAACCTACAAATCTCAGAATGAGAACCAAGCAGCCTGCTAAAGCTATGTGGTAATCCCAGGGGAGCCTCCTCAGTGGCCCTGCCGGTGGGTCATCAAGAGCTGGAGGACATAGGCTGGGAGGGTGGCTCAGTGGTAGAGTGCTTGCCTCATCTTCATGAAGCCCTGGGTGTGATTCCTCAGCACCACATAGCAGAAAAAGCCAGAAGTGGCGCTGTGGCTCAGGTGGTAGAGCACTAGCCTTGAGCTGAAGAGCTGAGGGACAGTGTCCAGGCCCAGAGTTCATTCCCCATGACTGACCAAAAATAAAATATAAAAATTAAAAAAAGAGCAGGAGGACAGCCCACTATCCAATACTCTGTGCAGCTTCTAGTGAGGACCATGAACAGCTCTCCTGACAAAACTCCTTCTCAGCCACACTGTTGTCTTTGTTGCCTTTACTTTTTCCTCCTGTTGCCAAAAACAAATGATTTCTCAATCACACACACAAATTCTCTCTCTCTCTCTCTCTCTCTCTCTCTCTCTCTCTCTCATTGTAAGACACCCCACCCCCTCTTATCTCATTCTTGGCCATGGCTGAGCTATTTCCAAGTTGAGAAATAGTAACAGTACAGAACATTTCAACCAAACCTTCTTAACTCCAAATACATTACACAATGGGACATGGCCTCATCGTATCTGGGACAAAGTTACGTTTTGAACTATGTTCCCAGCATGAACTTGTGCATACATGGGAGCACACACACACAGAGACACATGGCAGGGCTGCATTCCTGCCCCATGCCTGGCCATGATGTAGGTTTGCCACAGAGAGGCAAAGGCTCTATTTGTGAATGCTCTGGCAGGTGAATTCCCTCCTCACACACAATCCTGGTGAGTCTGGTGGGTAGGGATGTATGGGTTCTAGTTTACATTTACCCTTCTTTTTTTTTTCCCTGAGGGTTTTGTTTCTAGGAGTCCCTATCTCTCAGGGTGGGGTGGACACTTTCAGGAGAAGCAGGAGACAGACATCCATTTGGATTATTTTTATCAATTTCTCTCAATAAGGACACTGATATGAGCTATCTTCAGATCTGGGGAACTACCCTCAGGCTAAACCCCCATCTTGGTCTCCCATTTCTCCTCTCTTGAGTGTCCAGATCAAAACCTGTTACCCTTAAGAATGCTCTTGGGCCAGGCACTGGTGGCTCATGCCTGTAATACTAGCTACTCAGGAGGCTAAGATCTGAGGATCACGGTTCAAAGCCAGTCCGGGCAGGAAAGTCTGTGAGACTCTTATCTCCAATAAACCACCCAGAAAACTGGAAGTGGCGCTGTGGCTCAAGTGGTAGAGCACTCGCCTTGAGCTGAAGAGCTGAGGGGCAGCTCCTAGGCCCAGAGTTCAAGCCCTACAACCAACCAAAAAATAATAATAATAAAAATAAAAAGAATGTTCTTGGGAGGGTGTGTGGTGATAGAGTACTTGTGTACTTGTCTCTTATGCAAGAGGCCCTGGGCTCAATCCTCAGTACTACCCAAAACAAAAATATCAAAAATATTCTTGGTGTATACAGTGCTTTTTTTCACCCATAGGTGTGAATGTTTTGTTTTGGGTGCTACTGGGGACTGAACCCAGGTTCTCTTACACAGGAGGCAAGGGACTCTACCAGCGTTTTTTCCCCCTAGATGAGAATGATGTGCTCGGTGACCACTAGAAGTGGCCAATGAGGTTGGCTCGATGCAAGAGGGGAGGACTAGTTGACCTCTTCCTACAGAAGGAGTGGAGAAGAACTCCCAGAGAGTGTCAGAAGCTATGAATTCTCACCCTCACTCGGCCACCATCTTGCTATACATATGACCTTGAACAAGCCATGCTATCATAATCTCCCCCATGTTTTCCCCAAACTTGTGAAAGGACGTAGAAGATTGAGTGGAGATAAATTTCATCATCCAAGACTTTTTTCCATACCCCTTTTCCTCTAGGCTCCAAGAAGAGTTCTCAAAAGGACACCAGTGTCTCCTTGAGCCATACTCCATTCTGCTATTGTTCACTGTGACCAACTCTGACACTGAAGTGGCTAAGCGAGGACAAACCAAGCAAAACCCTACACCCACCCCAGCAATGGATTCATTTCAAAACCTTCTACTCCAGACAACTTGAGTTTTCTCCTTTACTTACTGCTACTTGTCTTTCATCGGGAGCTTGGTCTCAGAACCATGTTGCTGCCTTCAGAGACACTGATGTGTCCTGTCTTGTCTAATCCTTGGGCTAAGGACACTACCTGAAACTAACCCACTAACTCAGTGGCCCACACAGGTTTCCAAAAATGAGTCTGGCACTCACGTGACTCCATACATACTACAAAGTCAATGGTCTCGACCATTGCCTTGGCAGTGAGAGCTGACCAAAACACAGAGCTCAGAAGAGGAAAAGGAACAACTTTACAGGCCTGGCTGGGAGGTCACCAGGGCCCAACGCAGGGTTGCTCTTATTTTTAGTGACTGCTCATTCACATAGCAGGAAGGAATCATGTGGAGAAACAGAGGCTTGTCCTACTTCAAAGAAAAAAGCAAACTGGGAACCAGTGGCTCACACCTATAATCCTAGCTACTCAGGAAGCTGAGATCTGATGATCACAGTTCAAAGCCAGCCCAAGCAGAAAAGGCTATAAGACTTATCTCCAATTAACCACCAGAAAACTGGAAGTGGATCTGTGGCTCAAAGTGGTAGAGTGCTAACCTTGAGTAAAAGAGCTCAGGGACATTGTCTAGATCCTGAGTTCAAGCCTCATGACCAACAAAAAAAAAGAAAAAAGAAAAAAGTAAGTAAATGGTCCTGGCTCCCAGAATGCTCTATGACACAGTTCACAGAAAAGCCCATCTGGAATCTGAATTCCAACTGCTTTCGGGATCACAAGAACTTTGTATAAAGCCATGGAATCCCCCTTTAAACCAAAACCTTCCAAAAACACCACCACCACCACCACCACCACCACACTATGCAAAGATTCTGATCAAAATGGAAGCACTCTCCACCTCTTTCTCCTTACCCTGCTCGTACATTCCCTCAGTCTGGTTCTGTCTTGTCACAAAGTTTAACTGCTCATGGCCATCTGAGGTCCTCAGCCTCCGCTGTGACATGGGGAAGGAGGACACGTGGGGAAAGATTTGCACTTTTCCTGTGTACTGTCTTGGCAGATAATGTGAATAAGCCTCATTTCTGGCCACTATTTTAAACATGACTTGATTCCAGAATGAGTTGAACACCCCATCCAATGATGAGTTGAGGATCCATTTCCCCTGTATGGTTCAGGACCCCACTATTTTTTCTTGGGGTATATATATGCTCACTCTTAGTGATGATCCATCTCAAACACCTAGCCCATCAGGTAATCATACCTTGCATATAACATATTTATTCGCTTGTGTCTAAAAATGATGAAACCCCACAAAGTTAACCCTGAACAGGTTTCAATCTATAGTGTCAAGAAAGCTGAATCATTATGAGAAATTGCAGCTAAGCAAATTGGAACTTTTT